TCTGATCTCTTGACTGCTGCTTTCACGAATGTTGATAGTTGATCCAAGAAGAATGAAGTCCTTGACAACTTCAGTCTTTTCTCCGTTGATAAGAATGTTGTTTATTGGTCCAGTGGTGAGGATTCAATGTCAGGAAAATGTTGTTTATTGGTCCAGTGGTGACGATTCAATGTCAGGAAAAAAAAAAAATCCCTGATAGTTTCCACTAAAGTGAAAAACAACTGTGTTTGTTAATAGACAATAAGTTGTTAATAGACAATTAGCTCAACAGAGTAACAAAGAAGCTCCTTAAATTCCTCAGACCCATGCCCAAAATCCCTATGTTGTTGTTATTGTTAAATGCTTTTGAGGCAGTTCCAACTCATAAAAACCCTGTATAGGGTTTTTGAGAAGCAGTTGTTGGGTTTAAACCACTGAACTTATAGTTAGCAGTCCAGTGCTTATCCTACAATACCACACCGGGACTCCCAAGATCCCTATAAATCCCCTTTTCTCTTTCCCCTTGGGAAGCTGTCTTTTTAGAGGAGGTATAGTCCCTTGGCCTCCTAGTATACATTAATTTTGCTTGCTTTACCATACAGCTGACTCATTATAATTGATTTCTCTGTGGGACAAGCAGTACAAGTCCACCTTTGATGATGACACCGGTTTGCTCCCATCCAGTGAGCTCTGAGAGAGACTGCCCTGGTGATTTGCATCCATGAAGCTTACAGTCTAAGAAACCCTATGGGGCAGTTCACAGTGCCACTATGAATTGAAATGGACTCAATAGCACCCAACAACCGACACTATTTCACCTATCAAAGCTGACAGATATGCCTAACATCTTTCTTGTGGTTGTTAGTTGCTGTCAAGTGAAGGCAATTTGTGACAATCCCATCTTTTCAGAGAACTGTTTATCAGTGCTATGACCTTTCAGAAGCAAATTGCCATATCTGTCTTCTGAGGCACATCAGGGGGGATTTGAACAACAAGATTTTCAGTTTGTGTCTTTGGTACCCCAATTTTCCATTGCTGTTGTTGTTAGGTGCCATCAAGTTGGTTCCAACTCATAGTGACCCTATGTACAATAGAACCAAACACTGACCAATCCTGTGCCATCCTCACAACTGTTGCCTATCTTGAGCCCATTGCTGCTGCCACTGTGCCAATTCATCTCTTTGAGAGTCTTCCTCTTTTTCACTTACCCTCCACCTTACCAAGCATGATGTACTTCTCCAGGGACTGGAGAATACCTATTCCTCGAAATGTTATCTATAACTTGTCATGATCTACACAGTCAAAAGCCTTTGCTTAGTTAATAAAGCACACAAGTAAACAAATGTCTAGTATTCTCTGCTTTCAGATAGGATCCATCTGATATCAGCAATGATATCCCTATTTCCAAGTCCTCTTCTGAATTCAGCTTGAGTTTCTGGCAATTACCTATTGATGTACAGTTGCAGCTGTGTTTGAGCTATCTTCAGCGAAATTTTACTTGCATGTGACATCAGTGATATTGTTTGATGATTTCTGCATTCTATTATGCTGCCACTCATTGGACCAGGTTGCTGTGATCTAAATTTCTTGGCAAAGATGAGTGAGTGCTTCCAGTGCGGCATCAATTTGTTGAAAGATTTCAACTTGTATCCCATCAATTCCTGAAGTTTTTGCCAGTGCCTTCAGTGCAGCTTGGATTACATCCTTTTGTACCATTGATTCTTGATCATATGCTACCTCTCTACATGGTTGAACATTGACAATTTCTTTTTGGTATTGTGACTCTGTGTATACCTTCCATTTTCTTTTGATGCTTTCTGATTCATTCAAATTTTGCCCATGGATTCTTTCAGTATCACAAGTTGAGGCTTAAATTTTTTTCTTCAGTTCTTCCAGCTTAAGAAATGCTGATCATTTTCTTGCCTTTTGGCTTTCTAACTACAGGTCTTAGCACATTTCATTATAATACTTGACTTTGTCTTCTTGAGTTGCCCTTTGAAATTTCCTGTCCAGTTCTTTTAATTTCTCACTTCTTCCAATCATTTTGGCATCTCTAAACTGCAAAGCAAGTTCCAGAGTCTCTTCTGACATCCATTTTGGTGTTTTTTTTTCCTTCTTGTTTTTTAATGACCTTTTGCTTTCTTCATGTATGGCGTTCTTGATGTCATCCTACTGATCCTTTGGTTTTTTGTCATTAGTGTCTAATGCATCATATCTGTTTTGGGATGGCCTCTAAATTCAGTGGAATATGTTTGAAGTTATATTTTTACTCCTGTGGACTTGTTTTAATTTTCTTCAGCTTCAGCCTGAATTTGTATATGAGAAATTGATGGTCTGTTCAGTCTGCCCTTGGCCTTGTTTAGACTGATGATAGCTTTTCCACTGTCTCTTTCACCAATATTTAAGTCCTGTGTATTTCATCTGGTGAGGTTCATGTGTATGAATCTTTCAAGATGTTGAGACAAAAAGGTATTTTCTATGAAGATATCATTGGTCTTGCACAATTCTATCATGAGATCTCCAGCATCTTTTCCTTCAAAACTGTAATCTTTATGGAAGCAAACTGCCACATGTCTATTCTGCACATCAACCATTGTTCTTGTGTGCCATGCCATAGCAACTCTATATAGGGTTTCTTAGCAGTAGCTGGTAGGTTTGAACCTCCAACCTGTGGTTTACAGCCCAGTGTTTAATGTACAGAGCTATGCCAGGATTTACTGTTGTTGTTGTTGTTGCTAATTGCAGCCCAGTTGGTTTTTGACTCAGCAACTCTAGGGTGCCCTAGGAGTGGCTGATGAGTTTGAACCTGTGACCTTATGATTCAAATGACCTAGCGATGCCACACCAGGACTCCCCATGTCAGGATTGTTGTTGTTGTTGCTTATTGCCTTTGAGACGGCTCCGATTCATAGTCACCCACCCTTTATAGGGTTTCTAAGGAGCAGCTGGTGAATTTGAACTGCCGACTTTGGGATTGAGACCGAACTTGCAGTCCAGTGCATTATCCCACAGCGCCACACCAGGATTCCACGCCAGCATGTTGTCGTTAAGTGCCATCGAGTGGATTCCAACTCATAGCGACCCTGTATAGGGTTTCCGAGGAGCAGCTGGTGAGCTTGAACTGCCGACCTTGCAGTTCAAGTGCCATAATCCAAGCTAGAAATACAGAAGGGAAGGTTTAGAGTGGAAAGTTGAAGAGTTCAGTTTTGGACACATTGGGCTGATAGTATTTCTCACAGTTTGTCTCACAGGATTTGGAGAAACAAATGAAATGATGTGATTTGTGAACTGTGGAATGGAATAAAAAGTCAATGGGAATACATGTCTGGCGTCCACAGAGAGTAATTTTTTCCCTAAGATTTTGTCTTAATACAAATTTAATACAACTCTTTTCCATACTTTACAAGGCGTGGGGAGTTAGGAGCCAGCGTATCTGTCTTGTTTCTTTTCCTTGGCGAATTCAAGATAGCTCACCGCCTCACTTCTCCCCCTTCGTTTCTCCCAACTTTTGCTGCAGTTCTAAGGTGCAAAGCGCTTCTTCTGGAGTGAGGACGGTGATGAACTCCTGCTTTGAGGAGCACCTGTCTTTTTCCCGGGTCTCGCCCTGCTCCCGGTTTACAAGCTACTTTCAGCATCCAGCGTCTAGAAAGCAGTTCTGCGCTGCCTAGAGCGCGTGCCCACCCGCCAGCTGGCCGAGGGAAGGCCTGCGGGTGCGCATGCACCGCCTCCACCAACGCTGCGCTGTAGCTCCTCCCAGACCGACGCGTAGGCGGCTGCGGGCGGGGCGGTGGAGAGCTCTCACCAGAGGGCAGCAGTCCAGGCGGAGAGCACAAGCTACCTCGGTTGTCATGGGAACGGCGGCGTAGGCAAGCTCTGACGTCTGTGGGCCGTGCGCTGCCCGCACTGCGGCATCCGGCTCTTAGGCAGAGCCGGGCTTGCTGTCTGCTTTGGTAGGAACGCGGCCGTAGAGGTCCTGGCCTGCCCAGCTGGGCGCGGGGAGCCACGTCGCACTGCCCCAGCGTCGGCTCGGGCGGGACGGGCGCTCAGCGGCTCTGCGCTCTCGGCTTTGTGAGTACGCTGCTGTCACATTGGTGGCGGGAGCCTGGGGCTGGGGCCTTATCGGGGGCGGCGGTAGTGGCGGCGTGGCCACTGCTCAGGTCTGAGAGCACGAGGCCAGTGCCCCGGGCCCTGGCAAAAGGAGGGATGCGACTTTTGAGAAATATGTGGACAACTCTGGTGGTCTCGTAGCGTGATGTCTTAAAACGGAGTTTAATTCTTGACTTTCCCGATTCTAGTTAAAAAAGCTTTAATATCAGCTGTGTTCTAAGTATGTTTATTTCCTTTTATAGTGACAACCTGGTGCTGAATCTTGAACCTGTGAAATGCCTTAATTACATCTGACAAAAGGTGTGACATTGATTTTTTTTAATTAATAGGATCATTTCCGTGTATATAAAAATGGGGGAGAAAGGTGATTGTTTAGGGAACCTTAGCAAATACTTGTATTTTATGTCAGCATTACAGTGAAAACATTCACAAACTGAAGTATATGACTGACTGTTTTTGAGAAAGACATGGCAATAGTTTGTGTTTTTACCTGTTGCATTCATAATTGCTGTAACTGCTTGGGCTTTCAGGAAAAACATTGTATGAGGATGCTGGGAAATTTTTTAAAAGAATATTTGAAAGAAATTCAAATTTCAAAAGTATTTTCTTTTAAACAATATTGTTGTTGTTGTTGTTACGTGCCGTCGAGTCGGTTCCGACCCATAGCGACCCTGTACAGGGTTTCCGAGGGTGTAAATCCTTACGGGAGTAGAAAGCCTCATCTTTCTCCCGCGGAGCGGCTAGTAGTTTCGAACCGCTGACCTTTAGGTTCGCAGCCCGATTCGTAACCACTACGCTACCAGAGCTCCTTTTTAAACCATATTAAGATTGTTTATTTATGAAGACTATTGTTGATTTGCAAGCAACACTGGTAGAGCAGTGGTTATGAGTCTGGTTGCTAACCGTAAGGTCAGCAGTTCGAAACTACCAACCTTTCTGTGGGAGAAAGATGAGGCTTTCTGCACGTATAAAGATTTACATACTCGGATACCGTATACAGGGTCACTATGAGTCAGAACTGATTCCACGGCACACTACCACCCACATTGGTTGTTGTTAAGTGCCGTCGAGTCGATTCTGACCCATAGTGACCCTGTATAGTTTTTCCAGGGAGCAGCTGGTGAGCTTGAACTGCAGGCCTTGCTGTTCAAATGACTTTGCAGTCTGAGGCATTAGCCCATAGCACAACACCGGGACTCCTGCATCACTGGTAGCATTGAGGATTACTGTAAGAATATACCAGCTCTGTGGAAGAAAGATGAGGCTTTCTGCTCCTATAAAGATGTATAGCCTCCGACACTTGTCATTTGTCCACTGCACATAACCATCACCACCACCATTGTTGATTTGCGGGAGCCCTGGTGGTATAGTGGGTTAGCCTTCTGTCTGTTAACCTCAGAGTTGGTGGTTCGAATTCACGAGCCACTCCGCAGAAAAAAATGAGACTTTCTGTTCCTGTAAACATTTATACAATTGACACACAGCAACAAAAACCATTGTTGTTTGCTTCCATTGTGAAATAAAGATTACAGCCTTGGAAACACTATAGGGCATATTGACCCTAAAGAACAGAGTTCAGCTGCTCCATAGAGTTTCCAAGAATATAAATCTTTATGGAAGCAGACAACCACATCTTTGTCCAGTGGAGCAGCTGGTGGGTTTGAACCACTGACGTATCAGTTAGCAGCTAAGCACTTAACCACTGTTCTCCAAGGGCTTCTTGCACCACCTAAAGACTCCTAAATATTGGTACTATTAATTTCATTGTTATTGTGAGCTGTCGAGTAGGTTCCAACATACAGTGACCCTGTGTAGGGTTTCTGAGGAGTGACTAGTGGGTTTGAACCTTCAACCTTGTGGTTGGCAATCCAGTGCTTATCCTACAGTACTACATGTACACCTTTCCTGATTTTATTCAAACTGTATGCTGAGCAAAAACTTGGTGAAGCTGTACTATATTAAGAAGAACATGGTATCAGGATTGGAGGAAGAGTAACAATCTGCAATATGCAGATGACACAACATTGTGTTTGGAAAGGGTAGAAGACTTGAAGCACTTTCTGATAAAGATCAAACAGTAGATCTTGAGTGTGGATTATATATCAGCATAAAGAAAACAATAATCCTTAGAACTGCACCAATAAGATGGATATCTAGTAGTAAGAGTAAGCTGGACCCTGGTGTGGTGCTGTTGGATAAGCACTGAACTGCTAACTGCAAACTTGACAGTTCAGACTTACCAGCCACTATCAGAAACCCTATCCAGGATCGTTATGAGTCAGAACCACACATAGAACAACAATAAGACTAAATAAAGGCTGTCCTATATAGCAAATCTGAAGTCCTGGTGTGACGCTGTGGGTTAATGCGCCAGACTGCAAAGCCATTTGAACTGCAAGGTTGGTGGTTCAAGCTTACCAGCTGCTCCTCGGAAACCCTATACAGGGTCGCTATGGGTCAGAATCTATTTGACGGCACTTAACAACAATATAGTAAATATGGAGTCCTGGTGTGGCTCTGTGGATTAATGCGCCGGACTGCAGAGCCGTTAGAACTGCAAGGTCAGCGGTTCAAGCTCGCCAGCCGCTCCTTGGAAACCCTGTACAGGGTTGCTATGGGTTGGAACCAACTCGATGGTACTTAACAACAATAATAATACAGTAAATATAGAAGTTTATGTAGTCCTCAGCCATACCACTGTGAATGTAACTGATTTGTCTGATCTCAGAAACTAAGAAGGATTGGGCCTGGCTAGTACTTGGATGGGAGACTGCCTGCGAATACCTGGTGGTGTAGGATTTTGAGGCCTGGTGTGGTGCTGTGGGTTAATGCGCTGGACTGCAAAGTTAGTTTGAACCACAGGGTCCGCGGTTCAAGGTCTCCAGCCACTCTTCAGAAACCCTAAACATAATTGCTTTGAGTATGAATCCACATGATGGCACTTAGTGACAACAACGTATAGTAATGGGATCAGTACAGGACTGTGAACCACGAAGTCAGTGATTCAAACCTACTAGCTGCTCCTACTGGGTCACTATGAGTTGGAACCAACTCAGTGACACTTATCAGTATATAGTGGATACAGAAGTTTACATGATGTCTGTTTTGTGTATGTACCTGCTCATTGTTAGAAAAGTAACCTCGTGTAATCTGGAATGTATTTCTATAATATTCGTTTCCCTTTAGTATTTATTCACAGATATTTTTGCCCAAAGTACCATTAATATCAGAGGATCATAAATAAGGTAGTAACTGATAATACCCGAACTGGCATAAATTATGTTATCTTCTTTTTGGGGGGGTAGCCTTTAGCTTTATTGTAAAAAATACATGCATATTTTTGTGCTCTGAAACATGGAGGTAATGTGTGTTTGTTTTTAACGCATACACACACACACACACACACACACACACACACACACACCTTTAAATGAAATTGACAACTCAGAACTATATGCTTTGAGTTTATGGTTTTGGGTCGCTCTGACATGACAACAGACACTCTAGTTAATATTTGAGAAATAAGATACAAATGCTTGTCCTTACTTTTCTATTAGAGCTGCATTTGCAGTGGCAGGAGTGGTGGTGATATTTAAATGTAATATCTGTAATGTACTGTCACGTGGGGGTCAAAGACCCCCAATTCAAATATACATACGTACATAAAAACACACACATACACATATATATGCTGTCTAGTGCCTTACAGTTGGTTCCAACTCATAGTGACCCAGTAATAGGGTTTTGGAGGAGAGACTGGTGGGTTTGAACTGCCAGCCTGGTGGTTCAAACTAACTTTGCGGTTCAGGGCATATCCTACAGTGTAACACTAGTATTATATATTTGTTGTTGTTGTTGTTAAGTGCCTTCGAGTCGGAGCCGACCCATAGCGACCCTGTACAGGGTTTCCGAGGGTGTAAATCCTTACGGGAGTAGAAAGCCTCATCTTTCT